TTCCCTTTTGCTTGCACATAAACTCCTTTTCAGTATATTACGTGTATCTGGATAGGTGAACACTGGTTTGTGAAAATCCAGGAGCTTGGAAATATATAGCTAATACTTTTACTTAATCTAAGGTTATATTTGCTGGATAGACCATTTTAATGGTCTATCCTGTCACTTGCTGAAAGAAGTCCATAAACTTAGTTTTAGACTTTTTATAGACTCTCAGAATAGACAACAGAAAATTGCACTAGCACTAGTGCTGGCCTGATTTTTTGCAGTACTCTGCAGTAGTATGAAAATCCCCAAATTTAACACAGAAAATGTGGAGACAGAAATTCATTAGCACCTTTTCTTTCTAGTCATTGTCTGTGGAAATTTGAGGACTAGAGTTCATGTAGTCCCAGTTTCTGGTACAAAGCATAACATGATCTTAGAACTTTAGGCTCTAGAAGACTTAGAGAGGTTGTTTAAGAAAGGTCATTGTCCACTGAATTTATGTATGCTAATAGGTAGTAAGTGTGGGGTGAAGTGCTGAGAGTACTTTAATAACTAGAGTGCTTTTAAATAAGATAGAGGACTTCAGGGAAACAGAAGAGCAGTGGAGGTGGAATGTTTAGAAATCTACACTGATCCTGTAAGTTGGGAAATACAAGCTTCCATCTGAATGACACAGTAATGCAGAAAGAACCTGCACTGGTGTCCTTTGGAAATATTTGAATTATGAACTTTGATTCCCACCCCCACCCCCTGCCCCCCGCAGTTTTGCTGGAGAATTTCCCAGCTGTCTCAAAACAATTCTTGTACATTTCAGAAAAGATGGGAGGATAGGTATGATATTATAGAGAATGTTAATAATAACCAACAAGAAAATTTCAAGGTGACTGAAGTCCCCCTTCCTAGCTGTTTAGGCTTTTATCTTACGATGTTCTAATGAAACACTTTTGCTGCTTTTAGAATTGCCTAAGCTAGACAGTACCTGAAATTGTGATATTAAATCTAAATTGAAAAAATAATTAAAATTCTCCAGCTTAAAGGTAGACTGGCAGATACTGGATAAGCACAGATAAGTTCTGATCTACCTGACTGAAATTCCACTTAAGGGTGTGTGGCATAGTTTTCTTGTTTAGTATTTCTTCTGAGAGCTTGGAACCACATACGGATGTAACAGGTGAATGGTTTTATCCGAAATATAGGTTTGGTGATCTGGACCATAATGGCACTGTTTCAGATGTTCAGTTAGATTTAAAATTACTAGTTTAAATTTCTTTAAATGCTAACGCTCAAATAGACTTACTTTCACATTTCATGAAAATATCACCTCTCCTTTTCTTTCTCTTTAGAATATTTGCTTGACACACAATGTAATTAATTTTATCATGCCAAAACACTTGTCTGCTTTTGTTTACCCTAGCTAGTGAATAGCAAGAGGACACTTGTATCTATGTCCTTTGAGAAAACAACTGTTGAACAAAAGCTATTATTTTGATCTTGACCCATATTCAGCCCATTAAAGGTAGCTGCAGTGACTTTCTGCCACAGTATAGGATTGCGTTAGACTAAAAGCCAGCAGAACTAGACTGCTTGTGTAATCTGATTTAACGTTCTCAACTGTGAGCTAGCACTGCTGGTTTTGTGTTAAATCCCAAGGTCCTCCTGATCTCTAAAAGTCTAAATTTTGGAGGTGTTGGACCCCTCTTTCATGCAAAGCTGAGACTCTGCTCTGAGATACTTAGATAAAACATGGAGTCTTGCTGAGTAATAAATTCATATACAATGTCATAATTGTACATAGACATTACAAGCTTAATATAAGATATATTTCATCTTTTTAAGAATTTACAAGATAAATATACAAGACATGCCCACTGTGTGGGGAGGATAAGGGAACACAGGTGACCCTCAAGAAGTACAGACATGGG